CAGCAGGCACTGGGGAAGTCCTTGTTCCCCCGAGCACTGCCAGGAGTGACCAGGAATAATGGTCACAAGCTGGCAGAGAGTAGATTTAGGCTAGATATCAGGAGGCGCTACTTCACGGTCAAGGCGGCTAGGATCTGGAACCAACTTCCAAGAGAAGTGGTGCTGGTTTCTACCTTGGGGCCTTTAAGAGGAGGCTAGATGTACACCTTGCTGGGGTTGTTTGACTCTTTCCTGCCATGGCAGGGGGTCGGACTCGATGATCTGCTCAGGTTCCTTCCGACCCTAGAGACTATGAAACTGAAACTATATAAGGGGTCTGCATCAGGAGCTGGGAGAACATCTGTTCACCAGGGCACCCCAAGGGAAGACGAGGTCAAATGGTCACAAACTGCTGGAAGGCCGTTTTAGACTGTGCAGAAGAAAAAACTTCTTTGCTGTCTGAGTCTCCAAAGTATGGAATAGGCTCCCCACCAGAAGTTATGCAAGCATTTACTCTGGATATCTTTAAAAAACACTTGGATGCTTATCTTGCTAGGGTAATTTGACCCCAGCTGACTTCCTGCCCCTGGGGCAGTGGGCTGGACCTTATGATCTCAGGAGGTCCCTTACAGCCCTAGCGTCTATAAAATCTATTAAATCTATTATAACACAGATACCTGTTTTTTCAATAAACTAATAAACATGTTTAACTCGACATCCTGTGAATAGTCCCATTGAAGTCAGTACCACAACAGATATAAATATGCATCGTTCTACCTGGTTTGCATGGCTTTCAAGCAAGGTGACTAGCTTTAAATAGTATGCAGTCTAGCAGAGTACAAGGTTACTATACAAGATTATTATAGTAGACTTCATCTTGTCCCGAATTTAAATTGTGGTAATTGTATTTCTAAAAAGTTCATTGTTACATTGCTTTGGGTACATGAGTTGGAGGAGGATAAATTAGTTGACGTTGCTTTGCTCCTTAGCTGTAGAAAAAATGCCATGAAAGAGAAAAAAGTTCTAGTCTTGTCTGTGCGTTGAACTACACATTCTCCTTTACCAATAAGTCTGAACGGCAACAGAGAGAGCTAAAAACAAAGAGAGCTCTTACTTCAACATGTTTGATCCAAACACAAAGAGAGCTCTTACTTCAACATTTTCAAGCTTTGTCCTTCAAGTTTGAGGCAAAATTCTCTAGTTGTTAAACAATATCTTTCACCTGAAATAGGAATGATTATATTATTATCAAATATTATTTGATTAAGGACCACAGAATTTGATAGAAAATAGCTTTTCAAATATAGAAATGCCATTAGCAGTAGCAGTACTTGTGACATTAGGAACTACTTAAATTATAGTAATCTCTGAACAAGATTAATACAAAGTTGCTATTATGGTGGGAGGACCAGATTTTAGAATGGATATTGGTTTTTTAAAAATAGATTGCTGATTTTTTTTGGTGAAGCCAAGCTTGTACTTCCGGCAGCTCCAAATATCAGGTTATTCCGATATGTAAAAGTATGTAACTTTGGAAAGAACTAGAAACCACTTTTACCCTTCCTATTGATTATCTTTGTTTTTTACATGGAGTGGACGTGACTCAGATTACTGTTGAAAGCACATTTGTAAGCACACACAGTATTCAGTATCTTAGTGCCTCTGCATTTCTCCTTCTCCAGAGACCATGAAGAAGATATTTCAAGAAAAGGGCATCTTGGCAGGAGAAAACAGAGCTTTTAAACCCCATTTGACCTTCATGAAATTGTCAAAATCACCAGACTTGCATAAGCAGGTGAGCTCACATTTCATGGAATGCAATAGCAGCTATATAATTTAATTGGGAAGACAAGGGATGAGCACATGAATTTTACTTTATTCATAGTCTAGAGCATCTCAGGCTTGATTTCTTTGTAATCAAGCAGACAGGTAAGACTTTAAAACACTAATATTCTAGATAAATTAATTTTTTAATATACAAAAAATCTGGTCTTAAATGACTGAAGGACTGCATTCCTGATATTCTTTATACATCAATTGTATTTTATCTTGAAAAACAATATAGGAGTTAGAGTTATTGTTTGTGAAATTGTTTAATTGTATCTTAATATTAATTAATTATACAGAAATTAATTTCTGAACAGGACTGCTGACTCTGTAGTCAGGTGCATTTTATAAGAATATGAACTGTCAGGTCTCAAAACACCCAAAACACTTCCTGTGTGTTTTCAACTGTATTTTCTTTTCCCTGTAGTATTCTACATTCCATTCTACTGAGAAAACAGTGATCTTCTAAACCTGTGTGAAAGTCAGTTATTAAGAACATTATATAGTGTGAGAAGATATTGAGAAAGCTGGTCTCCATTATATGTGGGACTGCTAAGCAGTACTGTGATTTCAAGATACCAACTTTAGTAATAGAAGCTATACTGTAAATAAATAAGATTCCAGGCAATCCAGTTGTGTTAATGTGTGTGTGGAATAGTTTAAAACTATGCCATTCTTTTGGCATAATTTTTCCTTTTAGAACACAATCTGTTATTATAGTGTGTTTATTAGAGGTTCTCAATCAGCAACACTTAAACACATGCCTACATCCACTTTATTTCCCTTAAGGTCATGCTTAAGTATTTTTCTGTTTTGAAACCTAAGCTTCCCTTTTAGTTTGCTTCTGATATAAAACTTGTTCTCTTTCAGTGGTAAAGAGGAGATTAAAAAAGTGAAAATTTTAATCATGGTTTTTCATAGTGTAGAAAAGTATCATGACTTTATCTTACTGGGTCACTGACTCCATACTATTTTAAAACTTTTGTATAGTATCAAATACTGTCATGTAGCAAAAAATGTTCCCATTTTTAGCTTTCATTTTTTACATACAGTGATGGGATTACTAATTACAAGGTTATTAGTTATTATTACAGGTATAGAAAATGATACAGGTTGGGTTATTTTCTGTTGATACTGGATGACAGAAAAAGATCAACTGTTAAACAAATAAATATAATTGTCCATATCTGGTATGTGCACAATTAAATAGTAAATTACAAGCTCTATATTTTATTGCATATTCTTTGATAAATTCCGAGATAACTGAGAATTTTCATGTATTCTCTTATAAGTAGCTACAATGTATCTCAGACAAAACTTGTCATTAGTTTCTTTCACTTGATCTAAGAAGAGTTAAAAATTATTAACTCAAAGTTGAAACAGTGGTAAGGAGGAAAAAAACCCCAGAAAAGCAGTCATGGTACAAAAAAGCAAGATCCAGAGTAATATTTTATCCACATTTTTATTTCACTCCATTCACATTTTATGACGTTATTCCAAACTCCATATCACCATAAAACTATTTTCTTCTATCCATAGATAGCATATTGTACCTCTTATTCTATTGCATGACATTGATAAGTAAAATAATGCCTTGAAGTAATAATATTTGTCAAAATGTTATATGAAAAGAAATAGAAAAGGAAAAGAAAAGGAGCTTTTGACAATATTTGTAATAGATACAAGTAAGTGCTCTTAATAAACAATATAAAACAAGCAAACATTCACAAATACATTGGGAATAGATCAAAGAGGTTTAAAAATACTGAAGTAGAAAATTACGTATTTGGATTTGTCATTAAGTGACATAGGCTATAAAACTCCATGGAAGATATGTATTAAACAACAGCCAGTACTATACTATGTGAAGCATATCCATATAAACATTCTTCCCATGCTAAGGAATAGCATTTACTATCATTGTTCACTTTTATTGTGGAACTATTTCTTCTTATAAATCACAAATAAATAAATACTTTTAAAACATAAAACATGGTAAAGGTTACATAATACATTTAAATACTACATTTTAATCAAATTTTCAGATCATACAAGAGTATTACAAGTAACAAAGGAGAAAATCTACAGAGGCAACAGTAAGGAGAGCACATTTCAAAGAAAGAGCTGATCAAAAATAATGGAAAATGTAACTGGTGGATATATTTATATTCAGGGCAGAAGTTGTTAAAATTGAAGGGGTTTCCTTGAAGCAGCCATTATTTAACCCAATCCCCACAGCATGCTAACAGTCTAGCAAACCTCAAAATTAAAATGTTGTAACCTTAGAAAAAAGAAAGTAAAATAAAACTTTACATGACAAGCAAAAGTTTCTTAAAGGGGGCAGCAACTTTTGCTCTTTTAAAGTTAGAAAAAGGTAAAAGATGGCCATTTATATAATGGAATAACAGATAGAAGGATAAAAACTGTAGCCACTGCATCAGTCATATAATTAGTGTTTAACAGGTCAAAAAATAGTGCACCAGCTGGCACTGCCCTATGCACTGAAACTGCCCAGGGCACAGAGTTGCCCTGTTAAACCACTGGACTTCATTTATATTGAGCTAATCAGGTGATAAAAGACTTCTTGGTTTCTTATGCAAGTGAAATAACTTAGGCGAGCGACATAACTTAGTTAATAACTAAGGGAGTGTAAAACAGTTGGCCCTTTTAGTCCAGTAAGACAATTTGGGGGCAAGTGAGGTCACTGAAAACTTTCTTGAAATGCTAATAACATGCTTTTCATTCCTCTGCAGGACTAGACCAAGATAGCATGGTAATACTTAGGCCCTGAACCTTCAAAAACTTATGCATATATAGAGCAATTTCTAAAAAGCGCCTTCTAAAACTGAAACCTTAGACAGAAAGAACCTTGGCCAGGTACCACACCTTTTGTATACATCACTGAGCACACAGTAACTAACTTACAATGTAATGAGTCTATTATTTATGTAGTTAGAGACAGTGCTTCTATTCCTAGTTGACTCCCATTAACTTGCTGTGTGACCTTTTGCAACTCACATTGGCTCAGAACCTCACCCTACCAATGTATTACTTATTTCACAGAGTATTGTGATATATACGTGATAAATTCTATAAGGCAATTTGAGATCCTTCAATACAAGTGCTACAGAACTGGAAATATTAAGTTGATTTCATAGAAGTACTGGGCCACAGTTGAACTTTTCTGATAATTCTTACATACTCAAATCTGAAAGGTAGAATTTTAAACTTATTTTGGATTAGCGCATATATGGCTACAAGGTTTGGTGTAATAATGAAACAAGCCAATAGATGTGTATACGTATGATTTAAGAATGTTGACAAGATAACTGCATGGTTGCTGGATATTATTTTGCAGATACTACTTTTTAATTCAACTGATTACAGCAGTAACTCAATATTACAGTAAAATTTATTGTTGTATTGTTTCATGTTTGTGTTAAACATTTGCCACCACTGTCTTTCCTTGAAACTTAAGTTGTTCATTTTGTGGTCTTATAGTCCACACAACACAGTAAGGGAAAAATTATTACCCTGTAGCCCAAACAAGAGTCCTCTCACTATCAAAATCTTAACTGATGTGCATGTAGTCTGATTCAGATCCATTTTACTTGTCATTATCAATTAACACTAAACAGAGCATAAAATATTTCATACTGAAGTTACAAAATTTCAGGAATTTTTTTGTTGGGTGACTCATACAAACCTTCGTCCACTTGTAGTAATGTTCATATATTTGCCTCCTCGAAAGCATCAACTTCAAGCAAATTCAGCACAGTGGACAGAGTAGCACCATGTCTTCTGTTATCTGTACTGTGAACAGTATTAGCAACTTTTGGCAGTCAGTGAGAGAACTTACTCAGAGGAAATGCCTCTGCTGTTTTGTTTGCATATAACGGCTGAACTGTATTTTACAGAAGAAAATTAGTGATCAGTCCTACTTTTGTTTTACTTATCTATGCTTATTCTTAGATTTTTGTTTGGAACTTGAAAACAGATATTAAAATTTTGACTTAATATATTATTTGACTGCCTTTCTTTTTGCATTTGTGATTTTATTAGTTTTGTATGTTTCTAAAAGTGAGTAGTATTAATGTACCACATAGCTGCATTCTTATAATAGAGCCCTTTCTTCAAGCTGAACTCATCCTCACTCAGTTCTGCCAGCACACACTGATTTTGATCTGCATCATTCAAAGGAGAGATGTAGACACACTGACTTTCTGCTGTGGTTCCTGTTGTAAATCCCATCAACTGCCCTAGTCTTAGCCTCTGTTGCAGGAACAGAGCTTCCAATTAAGGCCATGAATGCTTATCTACTTTAGGTATTATTCCCTTTCCTCAAAGGAACTGTGGCTACTAAGATTCTTTAGCCACTCATTAACTTGGCTTCTTCTGAACAGAGATTGTCTGTTAAGATAAGTCATGTCTGTCATTTTATTATGTGAAAGAACAACCAGTAGAAATTCAGATGCAGCCAGCATTTAACTTTTCATGCGACCAACACTAATCAGAGCTTGAATATGGTTTTCCCCAGAAGTTCCAAACTATAGCGTGCATATAGTGCATATGTATAGCGTGTTTATCATCTCTCTTTGTTGGGAGTGCCATTTTTTGAAGATGGATTATGGTGTAAGAGAAACCATAAAGCAGATGAAATCATCCTCTTTTTTTCTTTATTAGCCTCAATTTCAGTGCTTCACACTCTGACAAATTTTACTTTTTCCTGTTTATGAAGAGTAGGATGCAGTTGTCACTGAAATCTTTTGATGTTGATACTAAACTAAGAGTCACCATAGCATAATACAATAAATTATAAGGGATTGAACATTGCATTCACAGTACTGATAACCTAGGAGGGATAAATCCTAAACTATGATCTTTTTGTCTGATCATCTCAAAGAACTTTATAAACTTTTAAGCTTCAAATTGTGCTCTCAGGTTATTAGATATGCAAGTTATAGATGTGTAGGCAGGGGGATAAAATGCTTAAGACCTTAACTGGAAGATCAGAAATTAGCCTCCCTAACTACCAGCCCTTCTGCTCTGACATCTTTAGGTAAAAAGATCATTTAGCAGACATATTTATAGCTACAGAAGCTGTTTGAAACACAGGAAGTAAACATGCCTTATGTATTATCAGAAGCTTATAAAAATTAAATATTGGGTGTGGTTATAAGTCAAATTAATTACAAATGAATGTCTATTGCAGAAGTTATTTTATCTCTAATTGAGAACATATAATCCTGAATATCTGGCTTTGTGTACTGGATCAGATTTCTTATTTGGAGCTGGAAAAAATGCCAAGAAGGGAAAAAATATTTCATTAATATAAACTTACAGGGAAATTTTAAGTTCCTTCCCTCTCACCCTTTCAGCTCTTTCTACTGAATGAGGGAAGCTTATATAGCATGTCATCCATATTTCTGTGCTTGCACCTATTACAGAACTGAAGCTGCAGAGGGCAGCACCTCCTGATGCATGAACTCCTCTAAATCCACATGGGGGTCCTCTAGGTCTAGGCAAAGAAATTTTTCTACTAGAGATTTGCATCTCTCCAGCTGGTTGTTCTGGGAAGGATGTTCAATACGTCTGATGGGTTTTCCATTTCGAATAAGCTCTGATACTTCCACACCTCGTGCAGTCACTTTGTGTGGCATCCCAGCCAGTGCAGCAATATTAGCAGCATGGCTTACAGTGGACACTCCTTCCTTGAGCTGATAGAAGAATACCAGCTCATGTCCATCTTGATGGGTCTCCATGGTCAGGTACTGCACAAGAGGAGTGTCAGGTAGGAGTTTCAGCTGCATTAAGCTGTGAAAATTAGTGGAGACAAAGACCTGTGGGCATTGAGTTCCCTGGTTGATCCAGTACTTCAGCACAGCAGCCAAAAGAGAAAGGCCATCCACTGTGTTGGTCCCTTTGCCAAACTCATCAATAAGTACCAAGGACCATGCTGTGGCATTGTTCACTGCCTTGGCAACCTGGTTGAGATCAATCATGAAAGTAGAGAGACCCAATGACACTGACTCCCTGCTGTGGATTCTGGTGTAAATCCCATCAACTGCTCCAATTTCAGCCTCAGAAGCAGGGACATAACTACCAATTAAGGCCATGAATGTTATAAGACCTACCTGCTTTAAGTATACACTCTTCCCAGATGAATTGGGCCCCGTGAGGATTTTTATCCTCCCAGTAACCTCTCCACTCTCCACAGGATTGGGCACAAAAGTCTTAGCACATAGCTCCATGAGTGGGTGCCTGCCACCCTTGATGCGGATGCCATGGCTTTGGGTAAAACGTGGCCGGCAGTAGCCATTTTCTCGAGCCATCACTGCCAGAGCTAACAGCACATCCAGGTGTGCTGTGAATTCAATAACATTGCTGAGCACCGCAGACTTCTCCAAGATTTTTGTCTGTAGCTGGTGCATAATAAGTGTTTCCTGATCCCTGATCTCACAGTGCAGATCACCTAGCATGCTGTCTAGTTCCTTAGTCCTAGCAGTTCTATAGTGCAGTTTATCTTCTGACAGGAACATGAAGTCCAGGCCTTCAATCTCAAAGTCACTCTTGTCCACCATTGTGGGAAGCCGTGGAATGGAGAGTAGGAACCCAATCAAGGGGATGTAGATCACACAACAAGAAGGTATACGATTGTCTAGGGTCTCCAGTTCCTTTCTGGCCACCTCTGTAAGGAAGTCTGAGAGACCCATCAGCTTCCGTTTCTTTTCATCGATGGTGGGGTCCACATTGGGTCTGACAGTGAAGCGATTTTCTGAGATGCTCCCTTCAAAATCTATCACTTTGCTGATAAGGCTGGCAATGTAGTGCAGGTCATCTGTGAACACATGTGAGATTGTCTGGAAGAGCTCAATGGTACTGGGCAAGGAACGACATGTGTCTCTAAGGCACACTGCGCTGTACGCTGTCTTATAGAGTGCCTGCCAGTCACTAACCTTTGTGTTGGAAAGAGTCATTCTTCTCAGAATTAGGGGGACATTTTTTATATTCTTGAGGCAGTCTTGAAGGGTCAGGACTGTCTCGTGATTCTGAGCCAGCAAGAAGAACTGGATAACATCTAGCCGTTTGTTCAGCTCTGTCAGGTTCCGGGTGGGCCGCATGAGCCACAGCCGCAGCAGTTTCTCTCCCCACTTGCATCTGCAGCGGTTTAAAATGCCGTATAAGCTGAATCCTTCTTTCAGCCCACTGGCTAGTTTGTACACAGAAGGATGCACCTCACTTTTAAATATCTGAAGGACATAGTAGGTATCTTGGTCCATATTCACAATATCTGTTAGCACATACTTTTTAAAGGCCAAGATAGGGACTCCAACAGTGCTATCTTCTAATTCAACTCCAACCCGTCTCCTGTCAAGAAACTTCAGCAGCCCACCTAGTGCTCGTACCATGAGTGGGCTCTCAAAGGGAATAACGGAGGACAAATAAAGAATTTTCTCTGTTGCAGTCATATGGGAGGGAATAAATGGGAACTGTCTAGATAGTATCCGCTGCTTGCTCACTTCTAGGCCAAAGTCTGCACTGGGAAAGAGGACAATTTCTGGTTTCTTCACAAACTCATCTCCAGTAGAACTGATGTTGGTCAGGAATTTGGCAAAGTGATGGTCCTGCTTGGCACTCGTCACAATGCATCGAGGAAAGACTTCATCAATCACTTTTTGCAGCAGCTTGAGGTGCTCATTATCAGGCATGTCAGGCATGAAATAAACTGAGCAGTCTTCTGTATCATAATAGGTGATCCCCAGTTGCCCTCCGTACCACAACACACACATATGTACCTCAGAACACTCTTCTTCCTCTTCTTGTTTGCATCCAGGCAATGGTGACGATGGAGAAGTGTTGGTCAGCGTAGCAAGGGTGCTCATTCCATCCAATTCTCTGGTTGCTGGTAAAGACAGTTTTTGTGTTGACAGCTTATCCTGTAAGTCCCTTCCTCCACAACAGCTGCCCCTGTTCACCTGTCCACCACCTCATGCCTCCTGATCCACTCAGCGTCCACTCCTTCCCAAGCCACACATCCATACCACAAGACAGACAGACAGACTTGGGAACACATTTGCTCTTTCTCTTGCTTGGGTCCCTGCCCTTTCCCCAACAGCCTGCTGCTGCTTGCATCAGTCCTGCATGCCTCCCCCTTCCCCACACTCCCGATACACACAAATCCTTTCGCTTCAAAAAGGTGAGAGCGGTTAGGTGTGTTGGGTGGAGAGTTAGGCTCTAGGAGGCCCCAGATATCCCTGGCCAGCAGGAATAACAATGAATCTGAGCTCTAACGTACTCTTGTGACAGCAGGAAGTTTTGGGGGCAGTTTGCAGGAATTAAAAGGTAGGAGAGGCCTGTGCTCAGACATATAGCTGCTCATTTGTATAGTCTTTCCACCTGCACTCATGTATGCCAGTTGTTTTTCCTATGGACCCAACTATCCTCGCAGGCATGCATTAGACATGCGCATACAGCACTCCACTGCATCTAGACCTATCCCCCTCTTCTACCTGTGCACACGGCACAGCTCCTGCCTGCTGTAATGGCCTATTGCCACCTGCCAGGCAGCCTCAGAGAACAGCCTTCCTCCTCCCCCTCCTCCCAGAGGCCTTTCACCTTTTGGGAGAGATGCTTTTCAGCAAACTGAAGGCTGGTAGTAATTGCAAAAAGGCCAAGCAGCTGCCACCGGGAGACTGTCGACCCCCCTGTCCCTGTCTCCTTCAGGCGTGGCTCACCCGTGACCCTCCTGAGCGGGGGCTGGACCCTGTCACATAGCACAGAGCCTTCATCAGTGTCCCCTTCCATGCTGTCTCCTCCATGCTCTTGTCTGGGCCTGATGCTCTTTGGCTCTGCCTGTTTCCCTGCCCTGCCCTGCCCACGGGGAGCATTGCCTGGCAACCCCTACCCCATCCACTTCCCAGCCACCCACCGCGGATCGGCATCGACAGCCGCCCTTCCCTGCCCTCACACGGTACAACGGGCTGCAATTTCTTTAGCCGCTGACATGCTGCGGAGAGCACCACTGTCCCACAGGTCTCTCACGTTGCTGCCTCGTAACCAGCCAGGCCTCTATTTGCCCCTGTGAGGCAAGGAAAGTAGTTTCACTGCCTTTCTCAGCTGGCTGCTTGGTGGGCCCTCGGCCTGTATCCTCCATCCCCAGCTTCCTTTTGTCGAAGGTGAAGAAAAGAAGGCATTTCGGTTACCAGGTCAGGCTACTGGCCAGCAAGAGACTCCCATCTCACCCCTGCAGGGAGACCGGGGAACCAGGTATTAGAAAGGCTGGACACTGTTACCTAATGTCGTCACCGAGCACTGCTCCCAAAACCTTTCTGCCACCCCAACTGCCGGATACACTTTCCATCCACGTGCTCACGTACACAGCTCAGTAACGACTGGGGCTTCCTGCTCTCCCACAAACACCTCTACATCCCACAGCTGGTTTTCTGAATTTGATATTGCTCAGCAAGGAGCTGAGGGAAGCCAGATCTGGTATTAGGCCCCTCACCTTAGATGCGCTGCCTAGGCCTTCCTGATAGCGATCCAGCAGGGGGAGCAGCAAGGAGGGAAGTGGAGGGGCTGCCCGGCTGCCTCTGTTGTGGGTGCCACAGTGGCCCCAAGCAGCTGGAAGGCACAACTGCAGCAGGCCAACATCTCTAACCTACTCACTTGGCTACATATGTTAAAATCCAGCTAAGATTTTAAAGCACAGGCACAACAAGACTGCCAGGTGGATGTCATTTGGCACCCTAATCCCACCCACAGATCCCTGTCTCATAAACATAAGCACATTCACATGCCCCTTATAACAGCTCATACCAAGATCTGTGCTCCATCATCAGCGCCATCTGACTGCACCCCTCTGTAACGATCTCTGCACGGGAACACTCATTTGCAGCTGTTCCACCGAGCATTATAGTGTAACTGCCCTGATACACCCACGTGAGCACTCTTCTCGGAGCTATGCGGGCTTTCTGAACAATAGCAGTCCAATTCTGCCCTTCTCGAGAACGACTCCCTATATGCCAGCAGTACTAAGACCCACATCCAGGTACCATCTCATCCCCATAGTAGCTTCACTTCACCCTTCTTGCAACAACTACCACCCTTCAGTTTGGTCACCCCTAGGGTTGCCAAATCTGTTTGAATCTATTCTGGGAGGTTTCATTACATGACATAATGACATGAATGCCTTTACATCAGGAAGGCAAATGCACATTACTGTTATATTTAAAAAACCCACTGGGCTACTATATAAATCTGATTTGATGTTTAATGTTTACTTTAATGGATGCCTTATCATTAATCTCCTGGGTGACTTTCAGCAGTATCCTGGAGATTTATATCAAATTCCTAGAGACTCCAGGGCAATCCTGCAGGGTTGGTAACCTTAGTAACCCTGTCCCCTCCAAAAAACATTCCTCCCAGCACTACTTCCCCAATCACTCCTTCCTAACTCCATCGCAAGCAGCACTCGGTTCCCTGAACAAAGCAAGTCTTCCCTCCATGTATACAGGCATTGTTCCCCGTTTCACAGTCCATCCCCCAGGAGCAATATCTCTTTTTGCAGAGGGTAAGTTGTGGCTTATTTAGGTACCTGGCTTTGGTTTAACCCTAATCAAGGTTCTGTACCCTAACAAGTGTCTTTGGCTGAGAAGGGCTTGAGGTGAGTCACTCTGCCTACTGATTGATGGCTTACTGTGCTTTTACACAGCACTTCCAGCTAGGAGGCAAATAATAGCATTTTCGCTTCAAAATCTCATCTGCCCCACAGGAGTCCTCAACACTGGCACTAGAGTACTAGGCTAGCTACTGAGCATTGCATTAAATAGAGGGTAGGTATTAGCCATGCATGAGGCCCCAAACTACCATACTACATGCTTGACATTAACATGAATGGCCACTAGATGGCATAATTATTCCAGTGTTTAATTACATGAACTGCCACTTCTGACAATGAATTAGTTTGTTAAGAGTCAGAAAACCAAATCTTCACTCTGTTTTAACTCAAACAGAATTCCTCTGAGCATTTTCCTGAGTAAGGGCTAAGTAAGGATTTCAAGACTGGTCACATATTGGAAACTGAGTGATTGTGACTGAAACATCACAAGAGATAGTAGTACAGATCAGATGAAAGGTGCTGGGAACAGATTTTTCTTTTTATTTTTAACACTGCATATTTCTGGTAAGACCACAAGTAGTAAGTATTAGGTGCAGACAGAGTATCTGTTTTTACTGAATATACAAATGGGATGATAAACGATTAATGAGTAAGTAAGAATTTTAGATCACAGACAAAGATCGGGGCTGAGAATACTTGTATGCCTCTGTGTTACATAATGAAAAATGATGCTGACATTAACATTTGTTAATATTTGTGAGTTCTATATAAGGCTGTGTGTACTAATTTTGTTTTTCAAGTTGCAGTTTTGTGAACGTAGAGCGGATTATTCAGATTGTTAACAAGCTGGATGAAAAAGCTTAGTTTGCCTGGGTAGGATCATATTTCCATGCTCTGGGGGAGCAAATGTAAGCTGCCCTAGATAACCAGCTAAGATCCCCCCAATAAGTTCCAAGAAAGCAGTCCTCCGCTGCAAAATGCTGTTATCCCCTAGCCTAGCTGGAGTGTTGTAAGCTACCAGAGTAATAAGTAATTATTTTTACTTAATGGTCTCCCTGCTCTGATCTGGGGAGATAATGGCCTAAAGCAGTATTTCTCAAACTCTGGTTTGCCGACCAGATCTGCCCCATGAAACCATGTCAGCCAGCAGAGCCCAGGGCTACAGCAATTAATGCTGCCACTGCTTCCCTGCCACCAAATTCCAGACCTGTGAGGAGCCCCACAGATCAGATGACAGATCAATGCACTGGATTGTATCAGATGAATCCAGCACGTAGGGCTGAGCTGGTGCTGCTGTGGCTGGATTCAGTGGTGCTGGGGTAACCCTGCACTGGATCATGCCTATGGACTGACTTCAAATGCAAAATCCAGCCAGTAGACAGGCCCCATGCCACACATCTAGATTCCCAGGGCCAGATAGGTTGAGTACTACCAGTCTAAAGGAAGGTGGTATGGCCCACTCTCAGGTATTGTGATAACCATAGCCCAGCCATTGATTGGGCACTTTATTTTTCAATATTCTGTTTTGCATTTAGAAGTTGAAATGAGCTGTTCTAAAAATAAATCGTTCAGTCAGAACCATTGGTAATATTATGAAAGCCCTGTCTCCCAGTGAAGTGACTGTCATTTTATTTTATTATTTAAAGGTGAAAAAAATTGATCCAAACCTGTATAAGAATTTTAAAAGCCATTATTTTGGAAATGAAACCCTGCACCGCCTAGATCTCTGCTCCATGCTGAAAAAAAAGCAACCCAATGGCTACTACCACTGTGAGTCCTCTATCACAGTCGGTAAGTATAATACTATTTTATGTCTTGATTTTATTTAAAATTGAAGAGTTGGATAATCTGTTAGCACTGCAAATATGTGTTTCATAAATCTTGTAATGTTATTCGGTAACCAGTAGATCTAAGCTACGTATTGGAATTTAAGCTACTTATTGCTTGTGGCAGCATCTGGCCATGCATCTCCTGTTGACTACTTGTCAGATTCTTGTCAAGGGATCCAATCACTGAATCTCCAAGCCTGTTAAGCTTCTGAAGTCTAATCTGAGTCTGGGGACTATCCTCAACTTTGGAGCCACTACAAACATTCTGGGGTACAGATTCTCTGCTCAGGATCTGCTAAGAGCCAAGACTCTTCCCAGGGCCAGCGCTGACTTCTCAGACTTCTAGCCTTTTCTAAAATCTCACCGAAGTGGTGAACTTTCTGGTGATACCACTTAGGGTGCAGACCGAAGTGACAATTTTCACCTGATCTGGCCACAGAAGCAGTCTCTAGCTGTGACCAAACACAAGTGCATGACTACAGACAGCTTCAAAAATTGCTGATTGGGTGAAAATCTGACCCCTCAGTGCATGAGGTATCAGATAAAGACATTTCAAAATATAGCGTCTTTTGTAAGTTGTGTTTACAGAGGTCCCAGCCTATCACTGTTTTCAGAATCGGAGGGGAGAAAGGGAGCTGAGGGAGTTTAGTCTGGAGTTTTTTCAGCCACCTTGGAGGGTAGTGTGGGTATATTGGATCCCCCCTGTGGTGGAGAGCTCCAATTCACCCACCCCACTTTTCAGCACCAGTTGGGGAGCCCCAAGGATTAGCTCCCTTCACTGTCTTTCCCCCCTCCCATTCTGAAAACAGCCAGCTTTGGCAGAGAGGCCTGGCCACTGCTGTGGGAACCTGGCTGCGGGCTCCCAGCCACAGCTAGATTCCCCTTCCCCTTGGAACCAACAGTGAACTTCTGTTTGGTCCGGGGCATTATTGTAACTCAGAACGCTTTGCAAAAATGGTTCTGTGTTACAGGTGAGAGCTGCACTTCTGTTTTCACCCTTAACTGTCCAGGTATGACAGATAACTCTTCACTTCTTGAACAATGATTGATAGGCCTGAGTTAATTCTTATTCTGTTAGGTGCTTTAGAAACATATATGAAGACATGAGTTCCTGCTCCCAAAGTTTACAAACTGGGCATGTCTACACATGCAATTTATGCGACTGAATAAACTCCAGGACAATTTGAGCTAGAGTAAGCTAATCTTGATGTCGCTGTTTCCATATGTGTTTAAGCACAGTAATTTACTCTGCCATCAGGTAGTACCTATGTCTGACAGGACTATCCAGTGGCACTGTAAATTAGTTTACACTGGCCTAATTGCTATGCATGTGTAGATGATGATGCTTTATTGTGCAGTAAAATAGTTTACTGCACGGTAAAGTGCATATGTAGATGTGCCCACTAAGACTACAGTGCCATTTGAAGGAAGGGCAATCCATGTAGTGATGGGAAAACATTCAAGTCTACTGCTTCCATCCCTACTAGCTGAGGGAAAGGAAATATTTTCATTTTGGAACTACCTGTTCTGTTTAAAATGGTTAAGATATGAAAAAAAAAAAAGTAACATGAGCAAACTTCCATTTCTGGAAAGCTCTAACCACATTTGCATATTATGTGAAGTCTTTAAGATGTGGTGAGCATTGACGGTTTAAGCCAGGGATGGTCAATCTATGGCATGAGTGCCACAAGTGTCACAGGCTGCTGTTATGTTTGGCATGTGGCAGCACAGTAGCAAATAGGGCAGAGAGCAGAAAGCAAGCACAAATTGGGTGGGGAGCACAAGTAAGGAAGCGGAAAGCAGAACAGCAGATCAGGCAGGAAAAGGGGATTGTCATGGCACCTGGAGAGGGTGTAGGCTTAATTAGTGGCATACCTTCCAAAAACATTGACCCCCACAGATTTAAGCAAACCTTCATCTGAAATTATCCATCTAGGTAAAACAATTTTGATAAAAAATCAAACTTTTTACTGTGTTCCTAATTTGCAGGCCTATATCTAAATAATCCTTTATACCAAAAATGCTCTTCTATTTTTAGATGCCTAGGCAAATATTCAACATATGTCAGTCAGCACATAATAAAAATATACTTATCAGTTACTTTTCTTATAGCTACCTTTAAAGATTCTGTCACTTTCATTCTGAACATCGTGTCACGCCAAATGTGTGCATTCCCAGCCGTTACCTTCTATGAATCAGTAAGTGTTTTGACCAGCTTTTATATAAGTGGTGATATTGGAAATCATCACTGTCTGGAGGACTGGGCAAAATACCAAGAGTCAGAAAAATATCTCATTTTGTCTTTGCACCTAACTTGCCTCAGACAAATCGTAAATCTATTTCTGTTTTTCCATCTGTAAAGCAGAGACAGTAATACTTATTTCCCCATATCTCATGAGAATGTTGAAAAATTACTGCTTATATTTGTGCAGTGCTTTAAATACATAAGGTACTTTATAAATCCTAAGTATTTGTTTTTATTTTTGATACTCAGCAATTCTTAGTTTGAAATTTAAGAATTCTCTTTATTGTCAAAAAAGATACATTTTATAAATATTATATAGACTGCTACAGGGTAAATGGGTAGAGAGATAAAATATTAGTATCTTAGTTTGACCAATGATGGCATTATTACAAAATTAAATGGAGATAATGCTTTTTATTATTTATTAAAAATATCTTATTTACATACATGCCCTCACCTATTTATAAAAGTGGAGAATAGAAGGGGAATATACAAGAATATATGTACCATTTCCTTGGCATGAGTTTAGTATGGCTGCAGTATTCGCAAATAGTAAAATACTCTGGAATATCTCTCTTCAGTTAAACAATTTGTCTAATAAATCTGCCCAAATAAAAGCTGTTCCATAGCAAATATATAAATATTTGACAGCTGTTGGCCATGATACTCAAAGTGTTTGTTTAAGTCTAAGTGTTAATTTTGTATTTGTCATTGGCTGACAGATTTGCCATTATAATCACTAAATTTACAGGCATCTCAGAATGCATAAAGTAGGCTCTTCAATCATTCAGATTTCTTTAAAATATGAATGTCATTAAGACTGCATATAAAAACAATCAATCAACTGTTGTCACAGCAAGAGTGGGATATTTGGTTGGCTTTGACTCAGTCATTTTATGACAGTTTCAGAGATAGTCATTTTTGTGACCTGAAACGAATCTTTCCTTTTGAGAGAAAACTGAATTATTTTAATTTAATTAATGGAAGGGATTTCTGTGGCCACACCAATTGGGCCTAAATGTCTGTGAAATAAGCATCAGCACACCCTGTTGAATAAATTGTTTTATTTTTACCCCTTTTCATGGTAAGAAGCTAATACACAGATAGATTGAGCCACTTGCCTGTATGCTAACATTTTTTTTTGGTTTTGTAGAAATGGATATATTGATCTGATCTGATGAAAGGCGTGTTTTTGACAGACAAGTTAAAAAATTAATTATTGAGTCTCAGACAAAGGAAAACTTAATTGAATTGTGAGTTAAAATATAGTTTGAATAGATTTTTTTCTAATCTATTTTGTTCCAAAAATATTTCAGTGTTACATTAGCCACATACATATATGAATTTACTCCAGCCTAGATTTACTCTGGTGTAAGCAACTCCCGAGTAAGGGTTTTTGGGCAGGTGTCTACACATGCGGGATTAGGGACCAGATTTGCACCGAGTTCCCTGCAGCTTTGCAGTGGGCCCCTGCCGCCACTGGCGGGGGGGTGGTGCTCCAGCCTCTTCCTGGGTGCTAGCCCAGGGGCTGGCAGGGAGCACTGGGCCAGGAAACAGCTGTCTCCTAGCCCTGGGGTGGGGGGCGTTGCCTGCTGTTGGGGTTGGGACAATGTTCCCTTGCCCTGGCAGCAGGGAGCTCCTGGCCCTGGCTCCCTTATCAGGGGCACGGGGCTTGGAAAGAGCTGCAGGGGAGGAGCAGGGTGCTAGGACCTATCTCACCCCTGTAGCTCTCTCCAAGCCCTGTGCCTCAATCACCTGATCAGGGCACGAGGCTGGGACTTGCTCCTGACTGGAACAGTTCGTGGCCAGTCCTGGGCTGCGTGGGGAAGTTTGCATGTACAGCCCAGAGCTGGCTGGGGACTGTCTGAAACAGGACAGTCTCCAGCCACCTCCAGGCTGCACATGCTTCCCTGCACAGCCTGGGGCTGGCTGGGAACTGTCCCCATCAGGGGGCTTGGAATAAGTTCCTAGCCCCAGCTCCACAATCGCAGAGCTGAGCAGAGAACAGTCTCTCTTGCCCCCGCCAGCAGGGAGCTCCCAGCGTGAATCCATGGTCACGGGACACGGGTTGGGAGACTCTTCTCTCTCAGCCCAAGCCCGTGACTATGGAGCTTAGCCTGGGAGATAAGTGTCTCCCAGCCCCCCACTCCCCGATTGCGATAGTGAAGCAGGGGCTGGGGATAAGGATCTCCCAGCCCCTGGTCCCCGATCATGATCTGGGAGCAGGGAGCTTGGAGATTCCTACTGCTGGGGCAGGGGGATATAGTTTCTGCCTGGGCTCCTGTGGCAGAGCCTGTCCTGGCAGCAGGCAGCTTCCTGGGGCAGGGAGCTATCTTCTGCCTCCTGGTAGATGGCTGACTGGGAGCAAATGCTGCTTGCTCCTGGTCAGGCATCTACACAAGCACTATGGTGTCATTACTAATCCCAAGTAAATTTGCTACTTGCATTTGCAGGTAGCAAATTTACTTGGGATTAGGGAAGTTTACTTCAAAGTAAGTATGTGCACCCACATGCAAGTAAGTAGACCTGCATGCTTACTTTGCAGTAAACTATGCTAATGTGAAGTTAAGTGTCTTGTGTAGATGTGCCCAGAAAGAAGTTTCAGCAGTTGGTGTGTGCTCTTCCTGGATGGAAT